GAGAATGATGCAGAGAAAAACAAGATAACACATCTATATCAACGACTCTTTGGTTCTTTCGGTAAAATCACGTAGAAAGAAAATAAATTAAATTAATACGACGTTTCGATTGCAGCACAAGCTGTCGTCATCAGGTAGAGAGAGACAGAGAAAACACAGACACGGAGACACAAGCAGAGAGAGACACAACATAGACACACAGAGACCCAATGCCTCTGTGTCGTAGTCTTAAATAGAGAGGAGGGGGGGCAGAGAGAGAGGTGGGTCTGCTGGAAATCCACCTCGCGGCGGCAGGGGGAGAGAAACACCCAGCAAGTCTGGTAGAGCCTGGTAAATTTTAAACAGAAATAGGCAGTTTGAGAAAACAAACTTAACAAATCTTTGGAAATGTAATGCAATGCAACGCAGAGAGTCGGCTAACACACAGCCAACGCATAGCCTGGTTGATTAACGTTCTCCAAAGATTGCTAAATTAGAGCTGTGTGGAAATCCACCCCGCGGTAGCAGGGGGAGAGAAAGACCCAGCAAACCTGGTAAATTTTAGAGAGAGTTGTGTGGAAATCCACCCCGAAGCGGCCAGGGAAGAGAAACAGCGAATGGACCTATGAGAGCCTGGTAAATTTTAGAGAGAAAAATAGGCAGTTTGAGAAAACAAACTTAGCAATTTTTTGGAAATGTAATGCAATGCAACGCAGAGAGTCGGCTAACACACAGTTAACGCATAGCCTGGTTGATTACGTTCTACAGAGATTGCTAAATTAGAAGTTGTGTGAAATTTGACAGAGACACACAGAGAGAGAGAAAACAAACTTACATCCTCCCCGTAGAGGTGGTTCAAACTTGATTTTATTTTTCGTGACTGCAGGAATTACTCTTTGGTTCTTTCAGTAAAGTCACGTAAAAAAGAAAATAAATTAAACAAATACGACGTATCGATTGCAACACAAGCAGTCATCATCGGGTAGAGAGAGAGACAAAACACAGACACGGAGACACACAGACAGACACACAAGCATAGACAACACAAAGACACACAGAGACACAACATAGACACAGAGAGCCAATGCCTCTTTGTCGTAGTCTTTAATAGAGAGAGGAGGGGGGGCAGAGAGAGAGGTGAGTGCTGGAGCAGAGAAATTAGCATGTCAACGAGAGAGCCGTGTGGAAATCCACCCCGCGGCGGCGGGGGGAGAGAAAGACCCAGCAAGTCTGGTAGAGCCTGGTACATTTCAGAGAAAGAAATAGGCAGTTTGAGAAAACAAACTTAACACATCTTTGGAAATGTAATGCAATGCAACGCAGAGAGTCGGCTAACACACAGCCAACGCATAGCCTGGTTGATTAACGTTCTCAAAAGTTTGTTCAATTAGAGCTGTGTGGAAATCCACCCCGCGGCGGGAGGGGGAGAGAAAGACCCAGCAAGCCTGGTAAATTTTAGAGAGAGTTGTGTAGAAATGCCCCCTGAAGCGGCCAGGGGAAAGAGAAAGAGTGAATGAACCTATGAGAGCCTGGTAAATATTAGAGAGAGAAATAGGCAGTTTGAGAAAACAAACCTAGCAATTTTTTGGAAATGTAATGCAATGCAACGCAGAGAGTCGGCTAACACACAGTTAACGCATAGCCTGGTTGATTACGTTCTACAGAGATTGCTCAGTTAGAAGTTGTGTGAAATTTGACAGAGACACACAGAGAGAGAGAAAACAAACTTACATCCTCCCCGTAGAGGTGGTTCAAACTTGATTTTATTTTTCGTGACTGCAGGAATTACTCTTTGGTTCTTTCAGTAAAGTCACGTAAAAAAGAAAATAAATTAAACAAATACGACGTATCGATTGCAACACAAGCAGTCATCATCGGGTAGAGAGAGAGACAAAACACAGACACGGAGAGACACAGACAGACACACAAGCATAGACAACACATAGACACACAGAGACACAACATAGACACAGAGAGCCAATGCCTCTTTGTCGTAGTCTTTAATAGAGAGAGGAGGGGGGGCAGAGAGAGAGGTGAGTCTGCTGGAGCAGAGAAATTAGCATGTCAACGAGAGAGCCGTGTGGAAATCCACCCCGCGGCGGCGGGGGGAGAGAAAGACCCAGCAAGTCTGGTAGAGCCTGGTACATTTCAGAGAAAGAAATAGGCAGTTTGAGAAAACAAACTTAACACATCTTTGGAAATGTAATGCAATGCAACGCAGAGAGTCGGCTAACACACAGCCAACGCATAGCCTGGTTGATTAACGTTCTCAAAAGTTTGTTCAATTAGAGCTGTGTGGAAATCCACCCCGCGGCGGGAGGGGGAGAGAAAGACCCAGCAAGCCTGGTAAATTTTAGAGAGAGTTGTGTAGAAATGCCCCCTGAAGCGGCCAGGGGAAAGAGAAAGAGCGAATGAACCTATGAGAGCCTGGTAAATTTTAGAGAGAGAAATAGGCAGTTTGAGAAAACAAACCTAGCAAATTTTTGGAAATGTAATGCAATGCAGAGAATCGGCTAACACACAGTTAACGCATAGCCTGGTTGATTACATTAAACAGAGATTGCTAAATTAGAAGTTAAGTATACTCTCTGGTTCCTTCGGTAAAGTCACGTAGGTAGAAAAGTAAAGCAAATAAACAAACGAATAAATAAATAAATATATCACAACGTTTGGATCGCAATATAAGCGGTCGTCCTCAGGCGGAAAAAAAATAATCCAGCGGTGGAACTGCTGAACCAGCGAGAGAGCTGTTACAACAAGAGGTTATTTATGTGGCGATGGGCAAGCAAGCGGTGTTAATGAGAGATTAGCACTATGTTGCTGTTGTGCGCTTATGCGGGACGATACTCTTATGCGGCTACGGAAGCTCATTTCATGCTAAAATCTCTCTCTCCCTAATCTTTCCATTAACACAACTGACGTGCTTGCGTCCGGGGATGGATTCCTTTCCAGCTCAGACCCAGCTTGCTTGCCCATCGCCACATCTATAACCTCGTGTTGTAACAGCTCTCTCGCTGGTTCAGCAGTTCCACTGCTGGATTATTTTTTCTGCCTGAGGACGACCGCTTGTGTTGCGATCGAAACGTCGTGATATATTATTTTTTATTTTATTTTATTTTTATACCTACGTGACTTTACCAAAAGAACCAAAGAGCATAATTTCCTGCAGTCACGAAAGCTTTAAATCAAAAGTTAAGTGTAAAATTTGGCAGAGACACAGAGAGAGAGAGAAAACAAACTTACGTCCTCCCAGTAGAGGTGGTTCAAACTTGATTTGAAGCTTTTGTGATTGCAGGAATTACTCTTTGGTTATTTCGATAGTCACGTAGAAAGAAAATAAATTAAACAAATACGACGTTTCGATTGCAACACAAGCAGTCGTCATCAGGTAGAGAGAGAGACAAAACACAGACACGGAGACAGACAAGCAGAGAGAGACAACACAAAGACACAGAGACACACAACATAGACAGTGAGAGACCCTATGCCTCTATGTCGTAGACTCTCTGCGTTGCATTGCATTATATATCCAAAGATTTGTTTTTTTTTTCTCAAACTGCCTATGTCTCTCTCTTAAAATGTACCAGGCTCTACCAGACTGACTGGGTCTTTCTCTCCCCCTGCCGCCGCGTTGTGGATTTCCACACGGCTCTCTTATTGACATGCTAATTTCTCTGCTCCAGCAGATCCACCTCTCTCTCTGCCCTTCCCTCCCTCTCTCTCTATTTAAGACTACGACACAGGAATTCGGTCTCTGTGTGTCTATATTGTGTGTCTCTGTGTCTTTGTGTTGTCTCTCTCTGCTTGTGTCTGTCTCCGTGTCTGTGTTTTGTCTCTATCTACCTGATGACGACTGCTTGTGTTGCAATCGAAACGCCATATTTATTTAATTTATTTTCTTTCTACGTGACTTTACCGAAAGAATCAAAGAGTAATTCCTGCAGCCACGAAAGCTTCAAATCAAGTTTTTATATCAACGACATTAACAAACAATACCTCGGATACGGAATGAGGCAGTACTCCCTGCAGAGACGCTCAGCAGCTCATGGAACTGATGTCAGTGTTAAGTGAGAAGAGTGGAAAATTGGGTGTAAAGATTAACTTAGCTAAGACGAAAATTACGCAGACTTGAAGCAGACCGACAAACAAGGAGTGAAACAGGACTTAGAACATGCATCATCGGCTTACAAACTTTAGGAGCAAAATAGATTAAAGGGATGGAGTGTGAGATAACAGGCGCAGTAAAAAAATGGGATACATTTTTCAAGCGACTTGATGTGAAGTTAGACATAAAACGAAGAATAATTAATGCGTCAATTATTCTGGTATTAATCATTTATGGTAGTGAATCATACTGCCTAAAATCAGTCACTGCAACACTTGGATTTGGTGTGAAAACGAATGACAACCATGAATATTTAGACTAATAAAACATCACACAGACAATAAAATCAGACAAACAACTAATCAAGCACAGACACATTTGTAAATTATATTTGACTACTTTAGTTTTATTTTAATAAACAATGTCTGTAAAACGCTGATTTGGGGTAATCATCTCGTGAAAGATGAAGACATAAGATTGGTTGATTAGCCAAATAAGGATGAAGTGGGCAGGGCATGTATTAAGGAAGGGAACAAACTGGCAAAGTTAATACAGGCAGGCCTCACTTTGTCCTCAAGACGTTTTCCTGGAAATGTGAGCGCTCATTGAATCACCACTAAAAGGGCCGTTATACCATTGTATATACTGTATATGGGATTGCATCTCCGACAGCGTTATTTATTTCATATAAGAAATATATGAGGCCATCATTGGGGTATCGGTAATAGCGTGAATAATAATACAGATAGTAAACATTATTTGATAAATAAAAATAATTAATTACAAAATAATTAATTACAATAACATCAGTAACTATGATGCACTGTACTCATGAGTATATTATACTGGTAGGAACGAAGTTGTAAACTGAGAGTACCAGCCTGCAATAGATTAATGTGTCCGTCCGTCCGTCCCCTTTCAATACTTTAGCGAAGTGAAATCTCGTGCTGTTGGGTGTAAAATCAGCAATAGACAGTGCAGAGACTTGTCCTACCAGCCCACCCTGCAGGGACCTGTTACTGTACTCCTACAAGGCAGTGGTAGGAGACGAGGCTGGAGCTGCTGCGCTCCCAATCTGGGTCTTAGTGAAGCCCTCAGTCTAAATGTCTGTGGTGAGGTTTATTTTAGGTGGAGCCTGAGACTCTATCCTGGTCTGCCTGTATACATGTGGAATCTCTCCGAAAATAAACACATGGTCAACCAAAGACACACACGCAGGAGGGACTACCTGAAGAGACTTGGGCATGGCTGAATTATCAGCACAAGGGATGACAACCAAAATAAACTAGATTGGTCTTGATGAGCTGACAAAGGATTAAGAATGAATCAGGAATGCGACTTCTGCTTCAGTGGCGGAACAGGGCCCAGTGGCGAGAACCAAATCCGAATTAACGTCCTCTGGTGTTATTTTCATTGTAGGTTGCATTTCCTATCATCATGGTATAAGGGCATTCCCCGATTTACAAACAGGATGCGTTCCTGAAGAACAGTGCGTAAATCGAAAAATAACTCCCCATTATTTTAAAGGTTCAAATTAAGGATGCATTCTTCTATCGCAAAATTACAATAAAGGTGAGGGAACGTGTAATGTCAACCAAGCATTCTCAATTCTTGTTACTGGTGATGTTGACTTATGCTTGCTACTCATATTGAAGGCTGCTTGAAGTAAATGGCAAATAACGCAATAGATTTGGACCCACGGAGCGCACGCAAACAAACATTATACAGACTGGGAAGAGGAGAACTGGTGATCTAGGGAGTACAATGATGCAGAGCGGCCAACCAGAAGCCTCTTGTTTATGTCGCGCAATTCAAATTTCGTGACAGTAAAAATTCGTAAATCGAGAGTTGGTAAATTGAGGAATGCCTGTACTGGTGTTTCACATAGCTATCACACGGATGTATGGGCCTCAAAATGGTTGCCGTTGTAGGTTTAGTATCTCAAATTTGGCGCGGTTGTCAGTTTTTAACGTTGCCACCGTTCGCCAAGCGTGGCTCGCAGGTTTGCCCAGAAGAGGACCTGCTTGCCTTGTTCCGCAGGCCACTCCAGGTAGGTCTTGCGCCCCATGAGGCGACGCAGCCTGCAGAAGCGGCTGGGCACCGAGTCACGTGGGATGGGCTCCAACAGCACGAGCACCAGAGCGTCGTCTCGGCTCTCCATTAGACGCTGCTGCGCAAAGTACAGCTCGTAGTGGCACCACTCGCTCTCCACGAAACTCCGTGAGAGAACAAAAAGAGTCTTGCGGCTCTGCTCGATGCAGTCAATGATGTTGTCCATGATAAAACGTCCGGGGACAAAGTCTCGCTCGTGCACGCAGAGTCGGAACGGTGGTACTGAGTGCGACTCTAGCTCAGGCATAAGCGTCTCCATTACCCAGACTGCGTCGTGCTGGCTGTATGACACAAACGCATCATAGGCTGCATTTCCATCTGGATCTGAGAGGAAACTCCGCCGTTTGGCTTGGAGCCAGGCCCACGTCATGCGCAGGTACCACAGCGCATCCAGGTACCAGCAGAGGCCGACCAGGAGAGCAGTGCACACGAATGTGGTAACACAAGCTATCACGATCTTCAGTGTTGTGTCACAGTAGAGTATGGGGAAGGAGACTGAGGACAGCTGTTTACCAACTTCTTTTTCTGGATTTGAGCATTGGTAGTCAGCTGGCCATCCTTCAATGCGTAATGGTGAGGAATTCTCACAGAAGGTGACAAAGTGGAGGATGTTGCACGTGCAATAGAATGGGTTTCCCCTCATGTCCAGTAGGGTGAGATTACCCAGACTGTCCAGGTCAGTTAGTTTCATCCCCAGTAGTGTGTTGTTGGCAAGTGTCAGCACTTTAAGGGATGGGATACCATGGGCTAGCTCCACTGGAAAAAAGTTGAGTTTATTCTTACTTAAGTACAGTTCGTGCAGATGTTTGAATTCCAACAATCTCTTGCTGACTTTTTGGATTCTATTGTTGCTGACATCGATTGAATAAAGTGACGTCGGCAGGCAGTCAAATGTCTCGTCTGTGAGAAAATTCGAGGAAGCATTGAGGACTTGGAGATTCATGGGCCACATGCATCCAGACTTTTGATCACTGTGAATCTGATTAGCAGATATATCCAGCAGCGTGAGAGAAGTTATATTATTCACCATGGCACCAACCGCACTCAAGGAAGACATGTAATTTTTGTGCAGACGGAGTGTGTTGAGATTTTTTAACTGAATATTTTTACACTGGGCAAATGCAGTATTTTCCGTGAGTAAATTATTCGATAAATCGAGAAAATGTAGGTTTTGACAGAGGAAAGTAATCTTACAAGGCATGTAAAAAAGGTTAGAATTTCTTATGGTCAAATATTTCAGATAGTATAGAAAAAAATGTAAGTTTGTCATGGTGGAAAAGCCAAAGAAGTTTGGGTTGGCTATCCCATCGACCAAGAAACTCTGTAAAGATATAACGGGACTTGGTAAGAGTGGCACCTGCCAATCACCAATGCCATCAAACCCAATTTGTCGCAGATTAAAAGAGATAATTCTTTGGGACTTCATAATATTATTGAGCATGCCAGTGATCGTATTGTCTGTGACTTGTGAATGTGATATGTTGAAAACTTCAATTGTGCCAGAATTTGAAATGCATTTGAAAACGTCGACATTTTGTCTGTATTCACTAAAATCAACAAACTGCACATGTAGCTCCACACTGTTACCGGAGACATCACATATGATGTCAGTGAGCAACGCAATGTTTGTGCGCAAGGTCAAGGCCAGAGTCACACTCTGTAGGCTGCGAAATGCCGACAGGGAGCCTGGAGTGTAGATGGTCAGGTCTCCAGTCATAATGGAGAGATGTTCCAGTTTCATTGTCTCGCTGACATTTTGGTGAATTTCAGTGACATTCAGGCCCCCAACCTTCAGATAATGCAGAGCCTTGAGAGACCTGAAGGAACCTGGAATATTGAAAGAAATGTAGGAGTTGTTTCTGACGTCCAGAGACCTTACACACTTGAGAACAGCAAAGGAGTCATCCCATGCTCCTGGTAATCTGTTATTACTCAGGTCAACGTCTTGTAACGCAAAGTTATTTGAGAAAGCCAAGGGGTCAATGCTTGATATTTGGTTGAAGGCCACATTGAGAGTTTTTAGCCGTAAAAGTGCTGACAGGTGCTCTCTCTGAATGCTCGAGATCTGGTTATAGGACATGTCCAGAGAGGCTATGGTGACTGGGAGCTCTTTAGGCATATAGTGTAGGCCCAGGCGTGAGCAGTCGGCTTTGTCTCCTCTTATTAAGCAGCCACTTGAGATGGGCGCCCCATGGCTCCAGGCAGCTCGCGTCATCAAGATGATCGTCACCAGCAAAGCCACGCTCATCTCCATTGCGCTCCTCCAGCCTCCTGCCCAACACTGACACACACAAATTATGTTTAGTTTATGTACAGCAAATCCTTACCTCTCGCGGGTTTAGCTATCGCAGGGTTGCGGCAACTTTATTGAGGTACAGTTCACCGCTCTCGCCCCTGTGGCTCGACCATTTGCGGTTGAACGCGAGATTCCTGTACGCGTTGTAACTGCACTTCTCGCGATGATGCTGCAGCGGACCAAGACGCATAGCCGTCTTGTTTCTAGCTTGTCCCCCCAAGCAGCCCATCGCGGGTCCCAGGTCACGCGGTGTTCCCAGCCTCCAGTGAGGAGGCAGTAAAGTTCAGCTGCCTGCGATGTTTCTTTCTGTTGTGTACAGTACTGTACACGGATATGTGTATAGTATTGTACACTATATTTTCATTCTATACATTTACCACTGTATAACATATTTATCATGTCTTATATTGAGAATACTTCCTGTTTAATGCTTGAGTTGTCATAGGGTAACATAAACAAAAGGAGGGGTTGGTGTCGTGTTACGAACCGTGAACCAAACCCCAGTTTTACCATTTGCCTTTTAAATTGCGGATCATCACGGATTTGCCGATTTCCAAATCGTAACCCCAGCCGCGATGGGCAAAGGTTTGCTGTACCGTTTTGGAGATTCATTATGGGAATGCAACATTTACAGCGTTTGGACATTCATTATGGGAATGCAACATTTACAGTGACGTCATAAATCCATAAAACACGTCTATGCAAAAACCGGCACAAATGTTGTAAAAGTTGGTAAGCACTTGCACAACAGTACAGCCAATAAAAAAAGTAAAATAAATAGAGAACACAACCTATAGAGACGTCTGCAATAAATACACTAAATACAGTAATACCCCGATTTACATATCCCCATTTACGTCGTTTCGCAAACACGACGTCACTTTATTAATACAGCTATCTGATTTGGGTTGCCTCAACCCACACAGTTGTTGCTAACAGCATAATCCCTCCTCTCTCGTACCCATCACCTCGGCCTTCCCCTCCACCTACCCTGTACATTAACTATTTTGTGACACACATAACGAAATGTATTGTACTGTAGAGTACAATATATTATTTATGTACAGTATTTTGGTGATTTTATAGTGTAATGTATCTTATTGTACAGTGTATTTTTGTTGACGTTAAAGTTTACTGCCATACATTAATGTTGCATCCAATATTTTTTGTAATTTTATGTAACGTTGTGGGTACGTGATCCTTTAGCGTCATGCCTCTTAGGCGTGTTTAAGTGACAATGATGGACAGTCTATGTGGCTAAAATTCATAATAAACGTTTTTGGGTTAGATCGCGTTATTTCTAAATGTGTCGTAACCCTCCACCACCCGACACGGCCAAAATAGTGAACTATTTACTTTAGCCCACCGGTGTGACCGGTGGGCTAAAGTAGTGAACTATTTGTCTTTTGTCAACGTGATACTTTTTTACTGATTGACTGTGTCGGGTGGTGGAGGGTTACGACACATTTATAAATAACGCGATCTAACCGAAAAACTTTATTATGAATAATATTGGTCGCGAAAACCTACGTGTTAAAATGTGGCTAAGAGGCAGCATGAAAGTGCTAGATACCGTAGAAGTTAAATTAAATGTTATTCGGCGCTGCCGGTGAGGCGAATCACACGCTCCTGTGAGTGTGTGCAGATCTATGAGTGAGTGTGAATGTTTTTGTGTGCCTCCAACTCGCCACCTCCTACCCAGCAAGCGAAGCTAGCCCAGTACTGAAGGTGAGAACATTTGAAAAGCAAAAATGTAATTTGTATTTAGTTGTCCGGTATTTATGTGTAAGGTAGTGTTCGACTTACGAACGGGTTACATTCCTGAGACCCATTTGTAAGTCGGAACACAATAATGCACTATTTAAATGCACATACTGTCGGTGTGATGAAATGTGTTTAAGGTTCAACAAAAACGAGAAGCATTATTAAACTCGTAAATAACAAGAAATATTGTACATTAGCATGTAATACAGTAATACATACTGTATAGTAAATTAAACATAAAATAACATAAATAGAAGAAAATGTTTCATTTTCACTTACCTTGTCCTGATGCTGGCTGGCTTGTTGGAAGGGGCGTAATGAGACTCGCAAATACACAACGACAATGGTCTCCCGTGTAGCCATTATAGACTTCTTGGGCAAGTGCTTTTAGAGAGCAGCGATTTTCTGTAAGTACTTTCGATTTACGTGCTGCTTTTCAGTCACGCATCTTGGGCGTAAACCAGGGTATGTCTGTATTTATGCATAAACAATTGGAAACTGGTATGGAAATACACGAGAAACACTGTACACCAAAAACGATCCGGGATGTGACGATTCAAGAGCTGTGTTTCTCACTCTACTTGCTTGGACATCTGTCCAAAGGTCATATTTGGTCTTGAACAGGAAACCCCAAACTCAGACTAGAGATCGGACATTAACATAAAACATCTATATATTGAACACAATTGATAAATAACAAAAAAAGTATATATATTTTTAAAATGTATATTTGATGTGTTTTATGAACTGTTTACAGGAAAGAGCAATGTACATATTCAAAAAGACATTATTATCTAAGGCAATAATGAATCATTCGAAGGAACGTGTCTGGTGCTGACAACCATTTCTCCAGTTTCTCTCTGGCTTTGTCATTTTCTGAGTAGCTCCACTGCGTGTGGTGTCTGTTCACGTTACCCTCATCTATAGCCGGGTGAGTGGCTGCTGGTAAAGGTGATGATGGTGATTGCTTCTTCAAGGACTTGCACAGTGAGTCCCCGCTAAGCGCGGGGTTGCGTTCCTGAGAATTGAAACGTAAAGTGAATTTGCGTTAAGTCGGAGTGATTTTCCTGTAAGGAATAGCGGTGAAGGTGGGGGTGCCGTTCCAGCCTACAGTTCTATTATTGCTTTTATTTGAGTGCACTGTTTTACATGTTTCTTTTCATATGTGTTGTGTTTATATAGTATTTCTATAAATGTTATGTGTGACAGTCATTTACCTCAGTATAAAGTGAGTGAGAGAGAGCTAAAGATGCTGCCGGAACACAATACTACAGTGCCAGTAGTGCAGTACCAGTCCGACATTACCTACCTTTCAGGGTGTTCAATAGTGTAAACATGCGCCCTCATAGGCTTTATCTTATATAGAATTTGAGATACATTGCTAATTTAATGGATAGAAAGTATGTTACGTTGTTAGATTGAGTTTAGTGCTCTATAAACGTCTTACATCGCTGATGTAAAATTGTTTTGGTACAAATGTAAAGGTTAATACTGAATCTGAAATGTCTAACCACGATGTCTTTTGTGGCTTTTAGACATTTGTACTGTATATATGCTTCCCTCGTTATTTGCGAGGGATATGATCTGAAGATGCTCGTGAATAGCACATTTCACGGATGATATTGACCTACAAAAAGTTGTTTTCATTAATTACCTTAAATTAATATATAAATAACGTATGAAATATATTAACATCATAAACCAAAAATATGGTTACAATAAACATAAAGCCAATAAAAATACATATTTAAGTATTATTAATACTTTATAAACGAAATTATCATGATGCGCATCATCACTTTAGCTCATCACTTTCTTTATATTTCTCTCTCCTTGTAGTCGTGTAGAAGCAACTGTAAGTTGATTTTTTTTGTATCTGAGACAGTGAAACATCAATGCATGCAAACTTATTGCAAAATGCTTCTTTTGTAGCAGTACACTGAACATGAAACTGTTCATATATTATTGTTATGGACAGATTCAGTAACCGAATGGCATGTGGAATGGACCCTACCTCATCATTATAGAATCCTGCAGTCACACACCTTAACATTTCTGCATTACAGAACAAAACACCCAGTGGATTTGATTGTGAGTGAGAAGTACCTGGCGCAATTGAATCATGAAGAACCACGGAAGATGGAGACAGTCCTCTCCACACAGACGTCCACGCACTGATGGGCATGTCCCACAGAAAAACGGTCCCCTCTGCCTCTGCTCTCTCAGCCCCACTCGTCACGCGATCCATGCACAGCGACCACAAGGCGAGTCATTGTCCCTTTACGGCTTCACGCCCTGAGCTTTCAAACGTGGATCTTTAGCAAACAGTTTGAGCAGACCTCGATCGTCATCGCGCTCACATCCATTCGCACGATGCGCTGTAAAATAATGTAATGAACACTAAAATAGGCACTAAAATGGCACTGAGGAATGCACACGTACAGTGAAACGTCTAAGTGTTTTCATTGTAAGCCACATATACAGTGTAACTGTGGTGCCGCCGCAGCGGAGCAGCTCGGCCGGCGCTACCCGCTCCTCGCACCACCCCGACCCGAACACACGCACGCCCCACTAAACACTCGCATGCACACTCTTTGGTTCTATTCGGTAAAGTCACGTAGGTAAAAAACAAAACAACAAAAAATCACGACGTTTCGGCCACAACACAAGCGGCCTTCATCAGGTGAAGGGATCAGGCTGTCTCGAGGACAGGGCTGGAGTGGAACACAGCCACGCTCTGAGCGAATAGAACCAAAGAGTATGGATCCTTGCAGTCACGAAAGCTTTAAATCTAGAACTCGCATGCACCCCCGTAGGGTCTCGAG